GGAAAGAGTCATGTCTTTGTGCTTTTTGATGTACAGACCAAAATAATAGTTTCCTTAGGGACAAAGTTCTACAGTCAGACAGAGGCAGTTTCCTAAATGTGAACCTGAATGACCAGACTAAATTCCCTTTTTTGCTATTATTCCTAATTAAATCTATGTGGACAAGGGATATCTAAGCTGCCAGCAAAACTTAAATACCCCATGTTAGATTACTGATGTCCCGACTGTAATGATGCATAAATTGAATGCACTGAGATAATACTAGATGGAATGATACAAATTTAACTTCATCATCCAGAAAGTTTCCACAACAAAGTGAATATTAAAATCAAGATTGTCCTTGAAGACTCTTGTTTAATATGGATTGCACTGGTTATACTCATTATGCAGAGTTCCCATAGAAACATTTTGGTTAAAAAACCCCCCCAAACACTTCAAACTTGATATCAGCATTACATGGCTATTTGTGAAAACAACAGAGTAGCGGAAACATAATTACAACTGGCCTGGAGTGGAGTGACATTTGTACAACACAGAATGTCCTTTTGGGTCTTTCTGTAGATTAAATATCACTCTGTCAAAATAAGGTTTAAAAAATTAAGGGGAAACTCAGATGTTTTCCAAGCCCTGGATCTTGTCACTTAGTCTAAACACATCAGCAGCATGTTTGTTTTAGAGAATTTTGATCAATTTTCTTTAAGGTACAGGCCCAAATTTGATTCTCCCTGTGGATCAATTATATCAGCCTGCTGAGGACTTCTCTTCTTGTCTATTTTTTTGTCTACATCAGGCACAAGGTCAAAAGATTCTGAATTTCCCCCAGGAAATGGCAGTGAACTTTTTTCCCCTGTTTTATTTCTGTGTGTGCAACCTAAACAAAAACTCTTGTATGGAGTCTATTTATGACGGTATTGTTTTATCTTTGATTCAGGCCTGAAATGAAGGCCACAGAACTGGGAAAAAAATGAAAATGCATCTAAATTTAACACTTTTACAAGCCCTCTGGGTGAACCTAAGTGGTGCATTCCCCATGCAAAATTCCAAAAGGATATTGTTGCTATGGTGGCAGCCGGAAACATAAGGCTGCCAAGCTGGGGAGTTCAGAGCTACACATAGCAGAGACATCCAGCATCTGCCCAATTTCTCCGCTTGTTAGCGTAATGGAGGATCATGATGGTGGAGACCTACTGTAGGGGTATGTGGGATCCAGTGCAAGAGTGGTCTAGTCTGAAATTGTGCGACTTTCAGAGGGGGAGACAACGAAAGGGCAGGTCAAAGGACTAAAATGCAGACCTACTGTGAGCAGTTGACATTCCAGGGAGACTGGGGGAACTGCATCGTGTTCAAAGAGGTCTAGATTTGGCCAAAGAATCCATAGTAGGGAAGGAGGGGAATCACGAGTCAATCCTACAAGACCACATTAAGGCAGTGAAGGATAGTGAAGAAGAGGTTGGTGGTTTTGTGAAGCCCTACATTTTTGGTGGATCAAGGCCTCAGTTAATTTTAAGCCTCTGCCATGAATTAGACGATTATCAAGCCCTTTTTATAGGAAGGAACACTTTCTTTTATATGGAGAGTGTTTGGGTGGAAGGAGTGGGACATCTGACTACAGATGCTTCCAAACAGGGGCCCAAGATCAGGTTTAGCAAAGGAACATAGAAATGGGTTCATGTCTATCCATGAAGAGTAAAAACACTTGCATGGGGAATACCTGGGTCACTACATGTTTTGATTTGTTGACATCAATAATGCCATATTCCCACCCATTACAGCAGGCAGATTAGAAATGACACAAACAGATTGCATGCTTCTGTTTCCTTAGGCAATAATCTCCCGGCTTTAGTGAGATGGATTAAATGTGTGAGGTCAGGTGGAAGGTCAACACCACTGGATTTTTTAGTTAGGGAAAAATAAGGTTTTTACAAGACAGTCCTTTTGGGTTCACTCTGCAGGATACAGAGGGAACAACCACTAGGCTGCATTCTCCCCAGATCTACTGCCACTAGTTGTTTCCATGAATTGTGACTACTTTCTACAGTTTCTAGACTGAGGGTATAGTAAGATCATTGTTTTTACACACTGTATTTAAGTCCTAAATATTGCCATAAATCAGCCAGTTATCTCACGGGTACCGTAATGTGATTTTTTGGCTTATTTACCTTTTATCTGCTAAAGTTGATGCTTGATTCATCTCACTATTTGCAATAAAATTTCTGATTTCAGAGAAATACGAGTCCTCTTTCTCGTCTAAAAGTGCATGGTTGTCGGATTCCGAGTTTGGAGAGGAGGCACTGGTCCCAAGGTGGTTTGTGATGACTCCAGAGTGCTGGCTCACTGGACACGAGAGCAATCAGGGGAGAAAATCAGATACTATCAAATCAGATACTACCAAAACTGCTACCCAGACAGTCCAGGAGGAATATTTATGCAACACATCACTTAGTGTATATTGAGACTTTAAACACCAGAGAAGTTTCAAAAATTAAAAATAGTGTAACTATGGTTTTTCTTAACTTAAAATGCCTGGAGATTATTCATTTGTTAATATTTAGCATGTAGAGAATAAATACACTTGCCAAGGTGCACCCACTCTAAAATTCTCTTTCTATTTCTTCTGAGCTAAAACACATTTAATTTGTGTAGGTTCCCTTCCCCTCTTTTTCTTCTTTTTCAAAGAAAATTCTACCTGTCTTTTTAAGTTAGAGCCATGTCTTAACAGTCTTTTTTTTTTTTTTTTGCATTAAAGAGATTTCTTTAGATAAATGCTTATTGGGCCCATATCACTATTGCTCCTGAACATCTCACCATCATTAGTAAGTGTGTCCTCAGAAGCCCCTTCTGAGGCATGCGGTATTAACACTGCCTTTTTTTTCCTTTGTAGAGAGATAAGGAAAAGTCACAGAGAGTTTTAAACTCCAAAATTGCACAGGGCAATTGTGGCGGAGCTGAGAACTGAATCCAGAGCTGCTATCTCTTCCACTAACTAAACAATAAAACTCTGCTTTCTTGTTCAACTACACATATGTGTGTGTGTGTGAGAGAGAGAGTTACACACTGTGATAACAGTACTTCTCTCCATTGTTAGGAGTGCAGTATCTGAAGCAAAGATGTGAACTTTTTCATTTGCTGCCTGAGGATGATACTCACTGGCAAGAAATGAGTGAGGCTGCAGGAAGAGTGAAGTCCCAGAGGGCTCTCCTTCCACTGCCTCTCATAAAGGCTGCACCTGACAGTGTCTCCTACCTGGAACATTCTCATGTTCGTGCTTCTTCAGGTGTCGGTCTAGGTTGGTCTGCTGCCCAAAGCATCGGTTACACAGGTGACATTTGAATGGCTTCTCCTTGTTATGAATGTTTCTGACGTGCCGCTGGAGGTTAGAGGAAATACTGAATGATCTGTCACAGTATTTACACCTGAGAAACAAAAGCAAATGCCAATGAGTGCAATGCAAAAATGGAAAAAGAAGGCCGGGGGGGAGGAGGGGGAGGGAGAAAGAAGAAAGGAAACCCCAACTACCAGAAAACATTGCTCTATAAATCTTACTCAGCTCAGGACCTGGAAAGCATGGGGCATTAATCATCCCAGACAATTCTGATATTATTATTATTCAAGACACAGGAAGAAGGGATTAGGATTAATTAAGAGGTTAGCCAGTCCAAACAAATAGGAACTTAAAACAAAATAATTACTTTTCCACATAGAAATATACAAGCATGAAAGGAGAATTTATGTCTCCCAGGTCTCTCATTTTGTGGGGAAAGGAGGAGTTGCGAGAGAGGAGGTTTAAAGGAAGACTGAAAAAAAAACATTACTCAGATACCTACATGACACAGGCATCTGGAGCAACAGAAAACAACAGTGAGCTCCTTGTGGAAGGCTAAAATATGCACAAGGGGTGGGCCTGATAGCGTATCAATAACACAATATGGTATTTACTTGAATCTAAAGTGAGGTTTTCCCCTACATTCAGCATAGGGAAAAAAGCCCCTCATCTTAAATTTGAATGGGGCAGAAGGATGACAGCAGCTGCATCTCCAACACTGACCCAACCCCGGGGTCAGCGCAGAAAATGCAGATGCTGCCACTGCCCACCCCTCCCCACCAACCTTGCCCCTTGCAGCTTCTGCTCCCCCTTGCCTTTGCTTCCCCCATCCCCTTTACCTTCCACTCACAGCTCCAGCTCTGGCTGAGGTCCTGATCCAGTCAGGGGCAGGGAGAATGGAGCACAATGCTACCTCTGAGCCCAGCTGGGCCACCATCAGCTCTGGCCCTGGTTCTGGGGCTGAAGCTGCTGTGTGGCCAGGCTGGGGCCAGAGGCAGCTACTCTCAGCCATAGAGGGGCCTCAGCTGGAGCCAGAGCTGCAAGGGGAAGGTAAATGACAGCAGGAGAGGGAGAGAGGGGAGAGGAGGTGGGTGCATGGAGCAGGCAAGAGGGGAGAGGCAGGCAGGAGGAGCGGAAAGTAGTGGTGGGGGACAGGTTCCCTGAGAGCATAGGCATGGGAAGGAGGGGCAGGTCTCAGGGGGTGCAGGTACCAGGGGGGCAGACTGGACAGGTGCAAGAGAAGGGGGCAGGCAGCAGGGGGTACAGGCACCATGTGGAGCAGGCGTGGGTTGAATAGTCACTGTGGGGGGAGGCAGGCAGCTGGTGGGGGGTCAAGTGGTGGGGAGGAACAGACAGCGAGGGGCAGGGGTTAAGCTGCTTGACTCCCTTGCTGCCTGCCCCACTACAACCTACTGCCCCTGATGCTGCTTGCCCCGCTGTAGCAACAGAGGGAACAAATTTAAGGTGACCCTCCAAAAATTAGATCGCAGACATGTAAAATTATAACAAATTTATAAATATTCCATGTCTAGAATCTTATTCTTGATGAGTCACCTTAAATTCAGAGCTGTCTTGGATTCGGGTAAATATGGTAAATTATTCTTATATTAATTTATGTATTATCTAAGACAGGAAGGACACTTTCCAAACAAGAAGAAGATGTACTTCCTGCCCAGTGGAGCACAGCCAGTCCAGAATTCATTACAACTATGGTTTAATTAGGAAATGATCAGGGGAAAGACCATGAAGAGGCAGGGAAATTTTCCCCCAAGGTGGGAAGCTGCTGAATGAAAGAAGCCAAGCAAGAAAGTTTAGAAAGTGGCAAGTGACAAATGCCCTCCCTTTCACGCCAGTCACATCAGAGCCCACAGCTGATATGCTGGCATTGCATTTAACATGTTAGTCCTTTGCATTCAGTAGATTTGAAACCATGAGAAGGCATTTCCAGGGCTCTACAAATGCAGCGGTGCCTGAGAAAGCCAGAGTTCTGGATCGGCTTATAATGAGGAACAAGAGTGTGCCTATCTTACTGAAGAGGGCAGCTTTGAGCCACAGGGAAGGACTCCAGTGCTGCAGCTTTCCAGCCTGAATCTCAGAAACGTCCCTCTTCAAATGGGTCTTGTTTATATCTCAATACTCAGCAGATTTCCTTTCCTTATGCCCCACCATCAAAAATCAGAAAAGTGGAATCATTCCATATCTACCACTCTCTGCAGAGCTTAAAGACTTTCTGCATCAACTTCTGCTCTTGGCCTGGTGAAAGCCTGGACTAACTCCACTTACTCTAGCAGCATGCTGCAAACTTCTGACCCACTAAATGCTATCTACTCTGGGCCAAATCATGCTCATTTTACTAATGTAATCAGCTTTGTTAACTTCAGGGGGAGTCCTTGTATGTGAGGAAGACAAGCAGGATCTGACCTTGTGTGTCTGCCTTGCAGGCTCTGAAACAAGACTCAGCTTGATAGTAAGGACATAATGTTGTTTTCTTAAAACATAAAGGATTCAAATGGTGGGGTAGGGGGAGGTTGGAAGTGTCAAAAATCACCATTATGCCGCACGCACACACTTTCCAGATGTGCTACAGCTGTGGCTCTGACTTGGTCTCTAAAAATACATTGCTATTATTGTTGGAAGTAACAGGAGATACATTTATGAAACACTCTCCCCAAATGTTTATGGATTCCATGTCCACCTATGAAATCCCTACCATTAAATCACCAAGGAGAATTAAGAAGCTACATGTAATGCAACTTCATTCTGGACATACTAGGAAACAAACAAGCTCTTGTGTTATGTTACATTGTCCTCAGACTTCAGCATTCTTTTCCTAATGCCTTTCTTGTTTTTAACCTCACTTTACCAAAGGTCAGCTGAACCACTGAAGAAAACAGGACATGACACCTCTTTGGACAATTGCATTTGATGGTAGCAAAATCCAGCACACATTATATACTAAAAATTAATCACAATGTTTGCAGCTCTAATTGCCCTCTTGGAAGTATAAGATCTGGTCTTCAGAAATGATGATTATTTTCAGCTTCCACTGAGGCGTTCAGCACTTCTGCAAATCTAGGACAAAAGGCCCAAATACTCAAATGTCCTGGACATTCCCTAGCCATCTGATTACTGATTTTTCTGATCTGGTTTTGTGTTGTTTTTTTTTAACTATAGTAAGAGCAGCATCCAGGACAATATAAGCAAATTGGCACTTTGGCTTATCGATAGTATATTTCTGTAAATACAGATGTGCCCACACAAAACTAAATGCACAGCAAAAAATAGCAAAAAGAAAAAATAAAGAAAGATCAAATTAAAACTGGTAAGGACTCCCCTCCCCATCCCTGGATTAACTAAAAAAAAATCTATATTAAAAAGCAATCAAAGAAGCTCTCTACTCACAGACCAACCAACTGCAGTTTCCCAACAGAGGCAACCACACTAGGGAACAAGTTAGAAGATTTATGTGCTGTAAAGCAATCTAGAGGTTCTCAGACGAGTCCTAAATGAGGCATTGTAGAGTTGAGGGATGCTGTGTGTGTTGGTGTATGACTAGGATGCAGATTTTCTGTATGTATATGTAGGATGCATACGTACATGTAGGATGCCTCTGTGTGTGTGTGTGTGTGTGTGTGTGTGTGTGTGTGTGTGTGTGTGTGTGTGTGTGTGTGTGTGTGTGTGTGAGAGAGAGTGAGAGAGAGAGAGGTGGTGGAGGTAGAGACAGACATCACAGCTCTGACTGTTCCCATTCCCATAGTCAACATGCTTTTGCAGGCACAAAAAAGTAGTCAGCATCTACACATGCGCTTCAGTGCATTAGTTTAATGTGCTGATTTCTCGTACCTGTATCTACAGGTACTAGAAAATGGTGCATTAGACTAATCTATTGTGTAATAACTGCTGACCACGTAAAGATGACAACACTTTACTGCACATTAAATTAGCCTAACGCACAGTAAAGCATCTTGTGTAGATGCACTCTGTGAGTACATCTAGCAGTGCTCACTGCTAGTAGTACCAGTATTGTGGGCCCTGCTAGCTTCTGCTCCCATTACTCACACAAGCAGTCCCTGTGACTTCAAAGGAGGCACTCATGTAAAGTAAGGTAAAAGGGATTTGGCCCCATACAAGCCAGTTTATTTAGATGTTCAGGAAGTCTTTGAAAGGTTTCACTTGACAGGCCCTTGCTCTAACTATGAGCTATGGGGATCCAGGGTAGGATAGAGAGGTTGGATAAAGAGCTTGTTAAAAAAATGGAAAACAGAGGGCCATTTGAAAGGAGCAATATCTAATGTCTGTGAAAGCAGGTATGAAGGAGATGTACTGTATTATATGTGGTCCCAGAGGGGTCACTACTTGGCTCTCTGCTGGTTTTAATCTAAATAAATGGCCTAGACAGTAGGACCAACTTTAAATGCAAGAAAGAGGTAAAGGCAGAAGCTGTAGGTCTACAACATACAGAAGGAATCACATATGCTTTGTAGGACCCACTGACAAATTGCTAGTGAAGTTTGTTGCCAAACAATTTAAAATAGTACACCAATGGATTCAGAAATAATAAACAGGAACAAATGATGGCTAGCAAGGAGCCAGAGCTGGGAACCTTTGAGAAGGAATGCAAAGAAGTAGTGGATAATCCATCTGACCTCAAGGGAACATGGAGACATGGCTTAAAAAGCCACTTGGAGAAAAAAAGGCAGCAAAAGCAATGATATATAGAAGTGTGTTACTGAGCAAAGCACTGTAAGACTCTGACTGTCTGGTAACAGATCAGCTAGAATACATACGTTCTTGTGCTTTCTAAACTTTAAGCTGCACAGTCCCCCTTACAAAACTTTAGGTTTATTTGAAGATTAAACAACATGAGTTGTAAAGTCAAAGTAACAGTAACAGCCCCATAAACAAGTGGGCCCGTTGTCCTTTCTTGACATAATTCCCTGGTCTTGAATGGAGTTCCACCAGGTTTAAAAGCAAGCAAGAAAGAAGAGCTTTTTATTGAACTATGTGCAATCTTAAACAACATGGTAAATGTCAGCTCGAGTTGTTAGTTTCAGCTTAATGCAGATAACAGGGCATGGGGGCCTGAAAGGAAATTAAAGAAAAACAAATTCAAAACAGACCTCAGGAAGCACATCTTTATGGAGGGAATCGCAGATCTAGGAAATGGCTGAACAGACGACATTGCTAGGGCCCTGGGATTGGGTGTAATTCAAGAATCAATTAGATGACATCCTGGAGGGAATGGACTTTTGAAAGAGGGAAAATACCTTTTGGATCAAATAGCCTTCCCTTGTTCTCAGTTCTGGTCATACATTGTTCTAACACAGAGGGGAAAACACAACAACAGAATACCTATCTATCTGCAAGAGCTTCATTAAAAACTGTCTGCTCTGAGGCCTGTACTATAAGGCTTAGGAGAAGGATGACCAAGTCCTGTTTTTTCTTTTATTTCCTGACATGCCAAGAAAGGTTGTCATTATTTCACAACAAGTGCAACTTATTTTGCTCTCCACAGAAGGAAATTCAAATAGTTACATTTAATTGCTTTTATTCTTGGGTCTTGAAACACATACTGCTGAATTTTTGGTCGGCTGCAGGAAGGAACTATGAATAGAAAAGAATGCCACTTATTTGCACTTTATTGCCTAAGTACACACACACACACACACACACACCCATGATGCAGGTGAAGCATCTTTAACCATTTTGTTTTAAAATGTGCATAGTGCATTAGTGCATGCGTCTTTAATAACATAAACAGCACCTTTCATTTTCAAAGCACTGTACCAATATTATTCAATCCATGTAATCCCCATGTAAGATACTGGAGAAAGGCAAAGGTCACAAAGTAAATCAGTGACCATCAGGACTAGAACCCAGACCTTAAGATGTACTGTTCCCTGCTCTAGTAAAACCATGCTGCATCTATATTGGACATTTCGTATGTTTATATTGTGGGCCTGTATTCACGTGTGTGGGTTTCTGTTCAGGTTTGTGCATATGGTTGCTCAAATAACTCTCCTGATTGCCACAGTCAACATAGAAACTACTTAAAACAAGAAAGAAAAGTTACAATAAGAACAACAATAAATCCTGAGAATTGGTGACCTGCTTTTGCCCAGACAGAGTCAGTATTTGCAAAACAAGCTTTCAAAACAATTATTGTTGCTGAAGTTGGAAATCACAGTTCTCAGAGAGCAAAAGAAAATCAATGATAATTAAACTCTTCTGTAAACATAGCACTAATTCTCAGGAGTGCTATTACAATGCAACATTGTCCAGAAGTCAAACCTCTATTACAAAAAACACACACGGACCATTTTCTGGGAGAAGACCAGATCAAATAAATCTTTATTTTCCTAACCTTTGTTAAGCTGTAAGTCTCCTTTTTTGGAAGAAAACTGGACTAACAATCTGTGAATAATCGGGAACATGCATTTTAGTCAGGCAAGGGTGGGTAGTGAATATACAGTGTTCATTCAAATTATTTCTGCCCAGTTCAGAGAGTCCTTAAAAAGAATTTACCTGATGTCTACAATCAACATTTGACAGTTTCTGGAAAGGTAGCTGAAGTTTAAATCAGGAAGAAAGGAGATTCTTAAGTTAAACTAATTGTCCATCCCCATCCCCATCCCCTCCCCCCCAAGTCCCCCCAACAATCCAGTATATTTGTCCAGAAGGCCTTTTGCTGTTCCTCATTTTTCTTCATGCTTCTCTTTATACAGTCATTACCACATATTGGGTACATCTGCATGAGACACTTTATTGCAAGCTGACTAATTAGCTCCACAGTAAAGTGTCAGCATCTACACATGCCCTATTAGGGCACAGTAAATTAATTAACTCTGCTGTAGGATAGTGCAGTCTAGGACAAGTACTATCCTACAGTGCAGTTATTAGTGCACTGAAACACATGTGTAGACAGTGACTGGGGCTGGCTGGGGCACAAGGGTGCTTCAGTGCAGGGGCTGCCTGTCAGCTAGCTCCACGCTGTAGCACCCTCAAGGCCCAGCAAGACTCTCTGCAGAAGGCTGAGCCAGGGCAGAGCAGCTCCAGGCTGATAGGCAGACCCCCCATCCTCCTGCCAGCCTGGGCTGCTCTGCCCCGGCTCAACATGCTGCGGTCCCAGGCGCATGTGTAAATACTGGGCCCAGTAGCAATAAACTCTGGTGCAAACTGTACCAGAGTTTATTGCTACATGCTAGCTGCATGTGTAGATGCATCCATTATCTCTGTAATGAGCTGAGGACTGTGCATTAAAATCCCCGTGATATTAGCTATTAGCACAGTATCACAAAAATGAAAAAGATCTTAACTTTTGATAATATTATAAGTCTCCAGAACAGTGACCATGGCACATATCAAAACTAGTGATGATCAGGGATCCTGGTTTTCTCTGATAAAAAAAATAATCCCCAATTTTTTAATTAAAAAAAGTAACCCAAAATAATCCACATTTTTCTGTGATTAAAATGATATGCCACTAATATATACATACACACATATACACATATACATACATACATACATATATATATATATATACATACATATATATAGTGCATTTCATTTTAATCACAGAAAAATGTGCATCTATATTGTGCATTTTTAATCACACAAAGATGTCCAAAAATTGGGGATTTATTTATTTTTTAATCAAAGAAAACCAGAATCCCTGGTGATGATTATTTTGATATACTTTTTGCCTGACATTCAAGCCTCAATTTGTCATTCACTTGTCTAAGCAAAGTTTTTGCAGAACTGTACACTTGCACTCAAACTGAAGCCAGCCAAACAATTTTTTATCTATATTTTTCTGACCAACCTGGAGAGAAATGGAAGGAAAAATAAAATTTGGCAAAAATTCCCCCCTCTCCATTTTCAATGAAAAATGTTTCAGTGTAACCTCTCTCATTCACTCCACTAATATCTAAAACATTTGTTCCGAGTGGGGTTTGTACATGAAGCTCCTACCATTTAAGCATGCAAGGTTCAGAATCTGTTGGGCATGTGTAGGGATAAGGATATGAAAGGAAGGTGTCAGAAGGTTTGCACACAACTGACCTTGTGTGTGTGGCAAGCGCAGACCACGGTGTGAACATCCGCCCCTTCGCTAACTGGGACCAGAGCTTTAACATTTGAAGTATTTCAATTCAAATTTACGCATCCAGATTTCAAAGCAGATATACCAAAAAAGGCCCCATGGTCTCTGACTCTAGGCAACTCTGACACATTATGAAAAGAAAAAAAGAAATCCAGATATGTCCGCAAACTAGCTCACCAACAACCCCCCACAACAGCAGTGTTTAGAGGCATTCAGCACCTTGAGCCCTCCCTGAAGTAAACCATTAATGGGAGTATGAAACAGCACTCAGATTCAGACTGCTTCTGTGCTAACGTATGTGTAAAAAAAAATAAAAATGAGGGCCTAAATGGAAGGTGCCAAGTCTGACATTTCTGACCCATCTGCTAATAAACAACCTTCCTAATCACCCTGTGTATTGCCTCATTCCTCCACGAGCATGCCGGCAGACCTTTATTGCAAGCAGTAGAATAACACCGCAGGGAACTGGCAGGCAGAGACAGGGATACCATGTGGGGAAAACTCTCACCTGTAGGGTTGTTCCCCTGTGTGTGTCCGGAGATGCCTCGTCAGATTTGCCGACCGTGGGAAGATCTTACCACAGTACCTAGGAAGGGGAAAAGCCAAAGGATTCATCAGTGCATTAAAGCCATGAGGGGTCAAGACGATGATATGATTTGTTTCATTTGAGGCACAGAATAAAGTAACAGGCCAACAGAAATTCAATTAAGGGTCCAATTCTGAGAATGGACAAGAAAGACTGCTTAAATACCCATCGGGACTGTCAATTACCCTTGTGTGGGGGAACCATGAGATCATCTGCTTGGAACCAAACAGTTCTGCTTTTGGCAACTGCAAGGCACCAAAAAGCAGGAAAATAAGAAAGGGAAATGGATTTCACAATGAACACAAAAGTGGGGGCATGTATTTAAATAAAAATGTATACCAGAGTAGTCAGAAAAGGGGCGGCCGGGGTGGGTGGGTGGGGGGGGAAGTATTAAAGGAAAGGAATTAAGTTTTGACACCATAAAACCCTGCAGCTCATATTTCCACATGTGAAATATGAACCAGCATGGATTTCTCATGGTAAATAATAGAATCCATAGCTTTCTGAATACCCACTTCCAACCTGATCCAGAAACTACATTGCAAAAGTGGACACAGTATGTGTACCACCAAAATGCATGTAACACCTTTGGCATTTGCTCCAAAATGTGATGCAACTGTTGTAAGGAAATTTGGTAACTCTGTATAAAAATACGAGCATGGAGCTACAGATCCTTATTGCCCAGGCTGCAAGCTCTGGTATTAGATTTTGCAGACTCAAAGGATCCATAAATATGGGTGTAGATAAAGCAGCATGTTGTCTATTTTCTTTAAACAGCAATATTCTGCATAGCTGATCTTGCAATAAGTTTGCATTAGAGAGCCCTAATTTCAACTCTGCCCTCCCAAACCTCTCCCCCTCACCTCCACCCCCAAATTGCCTTAAAAAAAAATGGTTTGGCCTGAGAACAGCTAGACCCATTTGAGGAGGAAGAGGTGGAGGAGGAATTTTTTCCAAGCCAAACCAACTCTTTTAGAGTGAAGGGATCACCAGAATCCTCTTCTCATGCTGCTTCCCACCCCAATGGAGCATGCTAACTCCTCTGATTGAGAGTGCTCTGTAACGCACCCATCTGACGTGGTTTTAAGTCCTGTTCATGTTCTTTGTTGTAGCCTTGTTGACTTGGAGCTGTGATTCCCCTACCTTGCTTAGATCTCCCAGCAGCACAAAGCCCTGCCCTGCCCTTTACCTGCAGGTATAGCGCTCCTTGCCCTTGCGCAGGATGGGATCTGACAGCGTGGGAGGTGGGGACCGGAAGTTGAAGGGGTGATGTGGGAGGGGCTGCAGAGAAGTGCCAGTGTCTGCCTTCATGGCTGCAAAACTCTCCAGTTTCTCTGTCATGGTTTCTATGGCTGACATCTGTTTGTACAAGTAGAAACACCGTGTTATGAGCAGCCACTGAAAGAAGAACACTTGAGGCACAAAACATGTCTTTAAGCTGCACTGTGCATCTCAGGGGCTGTAGCTGATGGCTGCTCTTGTCCTCAGAAGCCAGCTCTACAGAGTCAGGGGCACTGAATCCAATCAATGAAGTTAGAAATGATTAACTCAGGCTCCTAGAAATAGTGTGAAAAAACAGCTTATATAGCAGAGTCTGACTGAGGTAACTGCATAAGGTTTTAGAAATGGTACTAGGCATGTGCCTACCTTAGGCTATTTGCATGTGCTTATTCTTAGTATTAACAGCAACTTCACCAAATACCCAGCTTCCCCTCTCCAAGGCCAAGGTGGGGACACTAGATACAAGACCCAAGTCACACAGCAAACCTTTCCCTTGAACCCAAAGCCAACACAGTTCAGAATCGGGGTTCAACAGGTTTTATTTTTAATATAAGACTCTACTCCCCTCACCTTATGTCATAAGGGACTCAGAGGGAGAGAGGGAGGGCCAGACAGACAAGCCACCCCAGTAGGAAGAGGGGAGGGAAGTTTTAGGCTGAAAGCAACTTTCATGAAAAAAGGCAAGTGCTCCAGTGGGTTTGGAGAAACTGGAAGCCAAAGTAAAGGCGTTATTGCTGATCGTGGTGATGGGTGAGAGGTTGAAGGAACAAAAAAGGATGAGAAGTGGGCAGAGCTGAGGTTGGGCTCAGGATGAGTCAATCCATGGAGAGTTTGGAGAGCTAAGAGGTCAACCTTTTAATTAGATGACAAAAAAAGGCAAGGGAGCAAGTGAAGGTGACAGAAGGGTGGCTGTGATACCATTTCTTGAAGTGGAAGGGAACTCCAGGCAAAATATTCTGGGCTCCCTGTAGGTGGGAAAGTAAAGTTTTGGGAAAGCATCTTAAAACATTACAGATGGGGCATGGAGAGAGAGGAAGGCAGAATACAGGGGTCGAGGACTCAGAAAGCTACAACAGAGTGATACTCAGTTAACAGTCACTGCCTTGTGGGGAATGTGTGTGAACAGGGGGACAGATGCCCCAAAGATGCCTGCATCATCTCTTGTGTCTCTGCTACTCAAAGGCATGATTCATCAGGCTGCAATCGCTGATGAGCAGGATTCAATGACCAAAGTAGAAGGGATAAACAGACTGGGGAAGCAGCAAAGGAATCCAAACAAATACTCATGCAGTAACCAAGGGAGATGTTGTGACACCCATTAGTGCAAATAATCCAAGGGAGACATGCAATTTGGAGGACTGAGCTGACTTTATCAGCATTCAGCTTCCCTGCTTAGAAGAAGCCTTTTTGAGATACCAGGCTGAAAACTTGAAGGAAGCAAACAAGCCAGTAATAAAGCTGTGATGACCTCACAAGGGAAAAGGGAGCACTAAAGGGAGTGGGAGCCTGCAAGCTACAGAGTCAGAGAAAGCAGGGGAGACAGCGAGTGAGCGGAAGGTAGTAGGAAGCCATATATTAAAACTAGATGCTCTATTGTACAGGAAGGGCTGACCTTTTACACGTTTACACTTTATGACACAGGTCTCAGAGGGGCGGGCGGAAGCGAGCCAAGATATTGTTTAAATGTATCTCTATAAAAAAAAAAGTTGTCTCAATCACCCAAGAATAAATGGTGCAAAGTTGACAACCATTCATAAACCTCAGCAAAAAGAGGAGTAGTAAAACCATTTCTTGTTAATAGACCTGGGGCCCTTGAGTTGGAGGTTCACAGCCCATGATAAATCGTAAGTAACACTTAGCGCCAGCCACTTGAAAAGGTTACTTGTTCATTTACAGCAAAAGCTCTGCCCTAGCTGCCAGTCATGTAACAAAACCATCATGTTAAAATGCTATCTGGATCTCTCAAAGCCATGTCACTCAGCCCTTTGCTGGAGTACCTGGAGATATCTTTTGTTGTGCTTTGCTCTTTAGGCACTTAGTCAGAGATGTTTGCTGGCATGATAGCTGTGGGCTCATTTGAAATTTCTAAACGCTGGCCACAGCCTCTCTAGTGGTAAAGGCACTTTGCTATTTAGGGAAAAAGTGACTCGTTATAATAAAAAGGAAGGAAGGAAGGAGAAAAGAAACTTAACAGGTGGGAAAAGGTTTGTCATTAAGCAATCATAAAGTTGTACCATTTATTTATGTTGTCTAGAGTTTCGTTTAAAATAGACAATGTAAGAATGATTCAACTCCTGAAAGAGAGGCTGCAGAGGAGCACTAGAAGAGAGATCAGCATTGCTTAAGATTTAGTTGGCTTTTAAGAGAAAAAAGGCCCTATGAACATGCAGTCAGTATCACTGAGGCTGGATTCTGCCCGGTGCATCACCCAGAACTTTGTGTGGGGTGAATGGGACTAGTCACGCCAGCAGGGACTGCAGAATCAGCCCCAGCAGGGGAGCGAAATACACAGATTTCTCAATTGTGCTCTTGGTCAAAGGAATGCTATGGCTGGACCGTAGATATGGGACTCTAAACTTTTGGGATGTACATTCAGGTCAGGAAGACTGTGGTAGAGATGCACGGCACCCATGAGTTGCATGGGATTTAGGCAAGGGCAGGGTGCGAGGGCGGCAGGGTGGACGAATTCCATGCGATGGGAGATGAAAGAGATGAAAGCATTCTGTCTTCCTGCTTCCACCTAGCATAGTCCCATGACCAGATCAGTGACATAACATGGGAACCACAGGATCATTCAGTTATTCTACTCTCTTTTAAGTGGCCTTTGTACAGTAACCCATTGTACTGTATTAAAAAATCAGTTATCAGGAAGCTGCAGGCTGAGTGATATGTAGGTTTGGGACCATTCTTGGTAGTAGGCTGTTAGAGATAACCAGGCCTCTTATATCTTTTTTTCTTTCCATGGGAAGCAGGGGGGCCTGGATGTCAGGAACAATGTTAATAGCCTTCCACCCAATGCTTGCTCTTGTTGGGGCCTTGTCAATTCCTCACCATCTTGCAGGGACCTGGCTTTGCCATGGCAGCTCCTCCCCGCTATCAGATCCTTTACAGGCAGATATCCCCACTATTCTAACTCACACAAACACAGGATGTTCCTGACCAGCCTGTCGCCATTATCCAGCCTGCTTGAAGGAAAAATCAGGGGAAGTTATTAACCAAACTCTGGGGCTGATGTGAAACAATGCGGGAACTAAGTTTAGCTGTGAAAGCTGCTGGGACTGAGCTTTCACAAACCTGTGGGTTATTTATCCAAGGTGGGAAACACTAGCAAAATAGAACAATGCATGTAAAGGGACTGCACGACTGACTGTGGAGCAAATATGGAGAGAGGAGAGCCGGTGCTTGACACACAGAAAAGGACAGTGCACTGATGGCTGGGTTGCTAGCATTATCTCCAACTGAATAATGGGGAGTCATGGGGAGCAGAAGAATTGTCACGTTACAGATTTTAATTTTTCCTTATCCAGTGTGTTTTCCATGAACTGAGCTGGATTCTCTCTGATACTGTCAGTTGCTCTGGGTTTAGGTGTCAGGTACACCTTTCAAATACTCTGTGTTAAAGGTCCAATGTGACACCTCTGCAGAGAGTACAGCATGGGAACAACAGCCCACCTGGCTGACTTTGCTAGCCCCAGCCCAGTACACTGGCTGGGAATGGCCCCACTTCTCCTCATCCCCTTTGTGGGGGGTCCTGTGGCTTACTGAGGCAAAGATGGCTCAGTACCTGAGCCCCTTAGACAACCTAGCTCCTGTACAACAGTATAATCAATGTGGGAAAATGAGAGGTGCACAATCTTTTTCTGTGTCAGTAGCATCACATCAGTTGTAAAATGAAGTGGATCAGGAAGGCCTGATTCTCCATGGTCCTGCACTTTGCAGAGCTCTTTACAGTGACATAACTGAGCATAAAGGAGTTGCAACTGACTGATGCAACTGGTTACATGAGAATCTGTAGCCATGAAGAATTAGACCTGCATTTTAGCAGAAAGAGAGGTTGGACAAGATGTTTTTCCCTTGTATCCTGGCAGCACGCACTTTGCTAGTGCTAAAGGAAGAATATAGAAATGATCCCATTGTGTTCAGATCTGGTGTGAAAACTTGGCTTTAAAAGTGAGCATTGGAAGGTGCTGGTGAGGCAGTGGGGGAGAAGGCTTAAACAGGCCACTGGTTTGGGGGAGGTAGGAAAAAATGTGACTTAAAATATAGCCTTTCTCCACCTCTAACTTCTTGGCACATGGTTGCGTTTCTACTGGTTTTACCTGGGGGTGAAAAAGCAGCGGGGAGGGTCGCAAGTACTTCTCCTTTAGGGCACCCACTGGGTCTGTCACCTTCCGCTTCTCCACCCTGCTGGACAACAAGACAGAGGGTTACATACCCTACAGGGCTGTGAATAGGAAAGAGCATAATAAACGCGTCACTGGCTGAGGAACTCTTAAATATACTTAAAGACCATGTTTCTGGTCATCGATGGCTTTACATGCGAATTACAGACAGGGTTCCATAAATCAAATACATGGAAAGCTATTGGAAAATGCATGAAGGCTGAGCTCAAATCCCAAATTTGGGGCAATATTTTACAAAACTGCTTTGCTGGTGAGGAAGAGAACACTTGGAACTGTCAGTACAGGCTTGTGTTGATGCCTCTGCCGCATGGCAATTCCCCCACGGGTCTAAAGGATCCACAGCTACACAGTGTTCTGATCAGAAACAACATGTACTGAACATCAGCATGAAAGAGGTGGAAGTGTGGAGTCTACAGTAGACATTTGTTTCCAAGTGTTTGTTTTCATCTTCTATTTAGAACTGGGCCCAATTTTGCATCTCTGATGAGTGCTAGCTGAAATCGTTAGAAGTTTTGCATTCATTTCCCCTCCCACTGTGGAGGTTTGCTTTGCATTGGGTTTGTCTGTTAAGTGCCTATGACCAACATTATTAAAATAGGACCTAAAATTTCAGTTCCTAACACTAGAGATAGGGTCCTAAGGCCTGGGTTCCCCAAGTCACTTTGGAACGCAAGCCCTATGAATTCACTTACATCCATCTAAAAAATCCCACACTTAAGCATCAAATATAGACACAGGACCCTGCTTTTAAATACCCATTGAATCAGGTGATTTGCAAGGAAACCATCAGGTGAACTCATCCAGTGAAGTGTGAATGGGAAAGTAAAATATTTCCTATAGGGAAAAATGTTATGGAAACTGACCCTAAAGAATGCTGTGGCATCTTTAAAACACTAGACCACATTCTACTTCTGTTCCTCAGTCGAAATGTAAAATGACAACAGTGATTTTAAAACCATTACTCCAGTGTCAATAAGAGCAAGATCTGGGTCCGTATTTCAGACTGTTGCTGTATGGATTAAATTACCAAAGGGGTTTAATTCAAAATGCTTTCAAAGTGCTATTTATATAATTTTTATTGGCTAAAGGGAAACAAAATATCTGAAACTTAGTCACTATTATTAAAATTATGACTGCTATTACTATTATTTTGGTGCCTTAGACATAATAGTTAGGAACTAGACTAATCCAATATGCAATGGCCGATACAGTGAACTTCAGCTAACGATGACCCAGCTAACTCCAGCATCCATTCCTCTTCTTTGGGGAAGTAACTTCTAGTGCTGGGCAAGTGGTTTTCCATGGGACAACCCAACCCACAGCAAAGAAATTAAGAAAATATTTGCCTGAAGCCCTGAGCAAAGTGACATCACCTCATTTTGCACAGTTTTGCCACCCTCCAATACCAAAGACTGGAAATGCAGAGAAGTGCAAATTTGGCCACCAGAGGTAAACCTGCAGTGACTAAAGGATTAATCTGATCTTTTCAACTCTGTGCCTGAGAACGTTACCTTAACAAGGCAGTGCACAGATTTATGGCTGTCTGGCTGCATTAAATTATATCATCAAGAGAAAATGTCAAGGATTTAAGTTGCTTTGGGGAGAAAAATAAAGGAGCCAAATGATGTGTGATAGAGAAATTTAGAAACAAAATATTTCTATATTTTTCAAGCTGGGACTTGGATGCTCTGCTGTTTAGCCCATTACATCAGCAGTTTGAGCTGCAAGCAACTCCACTGTGGACTTTCTATTTTAACATCTTACTCAAACTATTTGCATCCCATGGAATGCAGCAAATGATGCCCTCACTTACATCTGTCTTCCGGCCCTGTACAGTTTTCCCGAGCCAGCTATTTTAATTGGCAAGTGTGTTTTCAGCCCTTGTTTTTTTAGCATTCCTTCTGAGAATGCCCGGTGGTAGAGGAATCCTGCACCAGGCTCAAGCATTTGCCTTTTCTACCCCACTAACTGATTTATTTCTCAGCAGCTCTTTTACAAAAATAAACCATGGCCTGTTTACACCAGAGGCAGATGACTGCATTCGGGTGCCAGACAGCATCTAGTTTGTGGAGCAGCCCTATTTCCACCATGTAAGTAAGCAACACCATATCAGTGATGGCCAAGAGATTGGGGCTTTCTTAATAGCAAAGCAATGAGGGCTCAACTAATCCTCATCTTAGCTTTCAGCTCCTTGGCCTTGCTAGACACTGACACTCTTTTCCCACCTACAATAGTAATGAAGCAGAAGCAAGGCAGATGCTGTTTTCCTCATCTGTGGTTTTACTAAGGAGTGCAGACTGCCTTTGCTGTTTGTCCCTCTGCATGCTCACATGAACTGCCTATGTGCCCATAAGGCTGCTAAGCTCTGAGTTTCCCATGGTCAAGATGACTATAAACACTACCTCCAGCAGTGTAGGCAATAGCCTGCTGAGAGTCTGAACTAGAACTAGACCCAATGTACCTCATTGTCTCTTCTCCAAGTTCAGAAAGACAGTCCTGCCCTGGGTTCTTCCCATCAGGCAAGAAACAAGGCAAGAGCAGGCTGTCAACCCTGTGGACC